TGGGTGGGCTCGGCTTGGGGGGCTGGCAGGGCTGACATAAAGTCAATGACATACATTATTCACTAGCGCACGTTAGCCCAGCCAAGACAACACATGACCTCTCACCCCAGGAAGTGCATCTAAACATAACAACCAAAACAATGACGGGGTTCCCCACTAGAGAGGGAGACAAAGAGGGAGAGAGTGACAAACAAACAGTACATTAGCTGGGAAAATGCAATAATCCTCAAAACACTGCAGCTGGCGAAGTTTATTTGTTCTTTCCAGATGTGTCAGGTGACCTGGACGAACACCAAACCAGGTGCAGACAAGAAGCAGCCGAGAGGCGAACCAAAACCATTTAATGTGTCTCTGGTCCAGGACTCCTAACTACCCACCGCGAGGCTGAGACTCGGTCTGTTCCACTGGCTCACAGAACAGGAAACTGTCGGCCATGACATCATCCTCCCCGGGAGGAGCACTTCCTGCCCGACATTCTTCACTCAAGACACACACACACTCGCCAGGAAATGGCCTCTATCAACACACACACACTCCTGGGGAAATAACCAGCATCGACGCGGATACACAAGCATGGACACGCATGCAAGGAAATGGGCCACATCAACAGCGGGCTGCAAGGAGTGTGTGCAAACGCAAACACACACAAGCACACACTCAAAAACAGCAATAAACCTGAAATAACATTGTGCGTAAACTTGACACCCCTCACCCCACCCCTCCCCACACTGTGACTGGAAATGGGGATCATGGGATATGCAGGGCTATCCAGTGGATCCTTATCTCTGGTCACAGAGAGTTTCTCTCCCTCCTCCAGAGAGGCTCTCCCTGCCTAGGGGACACCCTGTGGCGGGCCTGGGGGAGCTGGACGGGCAAGAAAGGGGCCACAGGACACAGGTGGCAGTAGGACACATGGGGCCGGAGGGACAGTCATACTCCCAAAGCGGGTAGGATTGAGAGATTAGTCCACAATTATATGGAAGTCAATTAACAACAACAGTTCTGTGAGGAGATACATTTAAGAGAAGCTATTCATAGAGACAGCGGGTGAGAGGGAAATGTGTTTGTGATTTGAGGCCCATCGAGGCGCATGATAGACTGACTGGCAGTGGCTGCATATGATTAACCCCATGCTAACCAGGAGTGATGGAGAGCGATGGAAGTGGAGGTGGAGGTGGGGGGGGGGGGTTAAGGGTTCCCCTCATATTATCCTGCCTCTGTAAGAGGCTAAAGTGGACCACACATGTTTCCCTGGGGAAGACACAGAGAGGCACACAGGAGCCTCTCACCTTTCTGCTGCTTCCCCTGCCTAGTGTCAAGCACAGACGCAACATGTCACGTCTCTCTGAATTTCCGTGGACTCACCACATTGGAGGTTAAATCCATAAAATACGGCAGGAATTGCCTTCATCTTCAGCGCGGACTGATTCAGATCAGATGGACTTAGAAACTTATCTAAGACAGAGAGAGATGACAACACGCCTCAGCCAAATAGTCCTAAACCAATACAGCCAGAAAGCAGGACAGATTGTGTAGGATGTTTCTTTCAACTTCAGTAAAAGTAATGTTAAAGTGCTTTTTGCTACCATAGCCTAAACAAATGCTTCATAATTAAAATCTAATCCACATCGCTCCTTGTAGACACTTTAAAGCCCAAACACATTCTCTCTTTTCAACAGGAGGCGATGTGCAGAGACGAGCGAGAGAGATTCTCCCGGTGAGCGAGTACAGTACCTAGAGCGCTGCCGATCCACACTGTACCAGATTTGTTCTCCTAACAATCAAATAAGTTTCTCATTAGCTGACTTTATTTTTCCTCATTCCTGCGGTTTTGCTGCAGTGGCCTGTTTCTCCCATCTTAACGAGAGAGAGCTAATTAGGCAATCAGACCCATTACTCTTCCAGAAGAGTTAGAGCTAGCCCAGCTAATTAGGGCTGTAAAATCTAATCATCTCTGTGAAACAGCAGAGGGCTAACGAGCCCTTATTTAACGAACTAAATAACTTCAAGGGTGGAGAGGGGCTGCTGATGGTATTTCTTTATGAATTTGAAGGAGGGGAACTCATGGTAATTGAGTCAGTTTCACCCTCACAGTTGTTTGTTTGTTTATGAATCTCTGATTATTACAACTGCCAAGAATATATTGGTACTAAATGAGCAAACGTATAAACCCTCCTCTCCCCCTTCTTTAAAACAAGCTACCAACCCCCCCACCCACGGGGGTGGGGGGTGGGTGGGGGGGTTTGGTAGCTTGTTTTAAAGAAGGGGAGAGGAGGGTTTTATACGTTTGCTCATTTAGTACCAATATATTCTTGGCAGTGTAATAATCAGAGATTCATAAACAAACAAACAACTGTGAGGGTGAAACTGACTCATTACCATGAGTTCCCCCTCCTTCAAATTCATAAAGAAATACATCAGCAGCCCCTCTCCCACCTTGAAGTTATTTAGTTCGTTAAATAAGGGCTCGTTAGCCTCTGCTGTTTCACCAGAGATGATTTAGATTTTACAGCCCTAATTAGCTGGGCTAGCTCTAAACTCTTCTGGAAGAGTAATGGGTCTGATTGCCTAATTAGCTCTCTCTCGTTAGATGGGAGAAACAGGCCACTGCAGCAAAACCGCAGGAATGAGGAAAAATAAGTCAGCTTAATGAGAAACTTATTTGATTGTTAGGAGAAACAAATCTGGTAAGAGTGTGGATCGGCAGCGCTCTAGGTACTTGTACTCGCTCACCGGGAGAATCTCTCTCGCTCGTCTCTGCACATCGCCTCCTGTTGAAAAGAGAGAATGTGTTTGGCTTAAGTGTCTACAAGGAGCGATGTGGATTAGATTTTAATTATGAAGCATTTGTTTAGGCTATGGTAGCAAAAAGCACTTTAACATAATTACTTTTACTGAAGTTGAAAGAAACATCTACACAATCTGTCCTGCTTTCTGGCTGTATTGGTTTAGGACTATTTGGCTGAGGGTGTTGTCATCTCTCTCTGTCTTAGATAAGTTTCTAAGTCCATCTGATCTGAATCAGTCCGCGCTGAAGATGAAGGCAATTCCTGCGTTATTTTATGGATTTAAACCTCCAATGTGGTGAGTCCACGGAAATTCAGAAAGAAGTGACATGTTGCGTCTGTGCTTGACATAGGCAGGGGAAGCAGCAGAAAGGTAGAGGCTACCTGTGTGCCTCTCTTGTCTTCCAGGGAAACATGTGTGGTTCCAAGCTTTAGGCCTCTTACAGAAGGCTAGGATAATATGAGGGGACCTTAAAA